TTCCACCAAATATATTAACCAATATCGCGTTCACTTGTGGATCTGACGTAATAATCTTCATAGCTTCGGTGACTTGTTCTGTCGTTGCTCCTCCGCCAACATCAAGAAAGTTGGCTGGTTCTCCCCCGTGAAGTTTTATAATGTCCATCGTAGCCATCGCTAATCCGGCACCGTTCACTGATAATGGGAACAATTAGAAATACCAAAATTTCGAAATCCTAATAATGATTCAAATACACGAAAGTAACTGCCTACCTAAACATCCAATTTGACCATCAAGGCCGATATAGTTCAAATTATATTTACTCGCATTGACTTCACGTTGGTCTTCTTGACTGGTATCACGGAGAGCAAAAATATCCTTCTGGCGAAATTCGGCATTGTCGTCAAAATTTATCTTTGCATCCATTGCCAAAACTTGATGGCGAGTAGTGTACGTACAGATTAAGAAATTAATGTCTGTCTTTGAATGAAAGTTGGAACAAGTACGAATGGAAATTTTTCAACGAGCATAATACCTTCACCATCGGCCGATTCCGCCATGGGATTAATTTCTACTTGAGTCGCATCTTTATCCCAAAACAATTGATAAAGTTGTATCATAGTATCGGCGGCCTATGTGATCAGGATGATAATTAAATACACCAAGTCGGTGAAAACATGAAATCCCCCTCCCTTTTTTTTTTTTACAATAAACAACATCTTTCCGCGACAAGTTCTACCTCATCCGTAACTTTGGCTGAAAATCCCAATTTTTCAACCAAAGCCTTGGCATCTTCTCTAGTCAGTCCAACGTCTATGTTTACAGGCAATGTTATAATGGCATCCGGATTCTCGGCTGCCACGCTCTCGATATCAACGCCCCCTTGTGATGACGCAACAACAACAGGACCTTGTGTTTTGCGATCTTCTAGAATGGCAAAATAATATTCACGACGAGCGAACTTGCGCTCACAGATGTAAACCTTTGAAAAGATGGAACGTCGTTAACAGATCTGACTAAAGCGATTTAGAGATGACATGCATAAAGATTATTACCGTATTACAAATTTTGCCGTCCGCACTTGTCTGCTTAGTAACGAGTTTGTGACCAAGCATTTGCTCAGCAAACATTTTTGCTTCTTCGGGACTGGACATGGATGTGAACATGGTTGAGTAAAAGATGTATAACGCTAAAGTAGCATTCT